GCAAACTACCTTTTATAACATCACTAGAAGTTGGCAATTCTTTTGACGTAGAATTGAAATTTAAATAACACAATATGGCGTTTGGTAACCAGCACTAACTGCATTCGCAGTCCATTATCAACTAGTTTTGTTTCAAAGCTACAAATGACACACCTTAGGTGATCTATCGGAGAGGCCCTTGCGTTTTTACCTCCCGGCACTCTGTTAACGGTTTAGCTCTGACTGATTAAGGAGAACCAAGGCCTTAATAGGAGAACGCATACCATGGAGTGTGTTGACATCGAAAAAATGCAGTTTGGTATTTTTATCCATTCGTTTTCGTGAAAATCCTCCAAGACTTCCCCAAAAAGCGTCTTAGGCATATTCTTCATGCTTTCTATAGAAACAACTCAATTACAGAAGCTCCTGTAAATTTCTGGAAGAACATCCATAGTATCTACTTGAATTAATTACCCACGTTGCTATCCACACGTGACATCCGTGGGGTCTCGAAAGTCCATGTCTCGAATATATTTTTTCGTTGTATACCAAGACCAAAGAATTTTTTGTTGCTTTGCGTAAATGGCGACGATAAAAGTGACTATTTGAACACGTAACTTCACTTACGCGGTCAGTCGAGCGGTTTGCATTTTTATTTAGTCGGCTGTACATTGTTTATCCTTATCAACGATGATCTATTATATTTCGAAGTGGATACTTGATCCGAAACATTATCTATCTATGTCGGAAGAATTGAAAATGCTGCTGAAATGTTGAAAAAGGCATTTTTGACGGCGTCGTACCCGGTTTTACGAGTAGTGCCTATTTGTAGAGATAGAGCAAAGTTTTATACTACCCCAATAAGTTGAAGTGTATAAAAAGGATTTTGTCCTGCGTCCAGGGGATATGAAACAAATGGGAACATGTCGCTTGCTGCAGTGGAGTAAATAACTAGTTCTGAAGTATTCTTTGTAAAAAATTAAGCTGCTTTGCCCAATAAAGCGAATTAAAGTTCTGTTCTTTATTCAGGAAACGACAATAAAGATTATTGTAAGACTAATGGGACGGGGGTCACTTTATTTTACAAGTCACCTTTAATGTGGCTGGAATACTATTGCTAGCTGGCGAACTTGACACTGAGACCATTTGCTCCCGCCAAGTGCTCAGTTCGGAGGGCACACATTCTACCTCGTTCATCTGCTCTGTCCGCATACCCTCCTGTTACGACTTTGAGCCTCGTCAGACCATCTAAACTCTGCTCTGTGGACAATTAGTATACTGTGCTTCTTTTTGCAGAAACCCAAAGATACACCCCTGTCAACCATCGTCGGGGACAAAATAACATCTCCCGACAACTCCGTCGATAAGTCGGATAAGTGGCCTCTACTCGCTGCTTCCCTGAAACCTGATGCTCCAACCATCCTTTCGACGAACGACGATGATTCAGACAGCCTTGAGGTGGTTGAAGTAAGTGATTTCTATAAATTTGACTAAATGCCACTTCATTCTCAGACCCAAATTACATCTGTTAATATCACGCTCCACCCAACAATCCACCGACCTCACGATGATAACAGTATAGTACTTATACAATACATTTGACGATTTCATGGTTCATCTGCTAATAATAGCTAAGGGGTTTCAGTTTGCACACGGCCATGATGTCTCTTAATAACTCTGTGTGAGCAGGGTTCATGGACAGGTGCTCTCAGATTTCAGAACTACCCGTGATGCAAGATAATTATTTCCGGTCCCCCATGTTTTTCTTTAACTGGCAACCTGCAGCACTAAGTGCATGGGTTTAGAGATCTTCCCCACATGTAGGCTTCCTTCTAAGTCATATTCAATCCGTTAATGCCCATGCATCTTTAAACTTTGGTTTCTGGTGCTTGTGGATGACTCTTACCACATCTACGCCTGACAACAACAAAAGTGTTGAGACAGGTTACGGGATTCGTAATTTGTGCTGTAGTGCGTATTTGCCATGTCCTATAGGTGAAGGCTCACAATGCCTTTGTCAAGGTCCCTGAAATATGACATTACTGCATCCTCGCTTTTTAAATCGTGTGTCGGATCTGAA